TCTGCCGGGGCGGCCTCTCCTCTACGCGCGCCAGGCGGGGGTCGCCGCCCGCGCCCACCCAGCGGCCCCGCCGAGCCGCCCCGGCCCTCCCCGCGGGTGCGAACCGCCCCGGGCCGGGCCGCCGCCCCCGCCTGCCCCGCGACCTCGGCCGCCTCCCATCTTGAGGGAGACTCGGGCAGGACTCGTCCCAGGCACGTCCAGGCAGGGAAAAAGGCTTGCCCCTCCCATTTTCCCCAGCCAGACCCGAGCGGCCTCTGAGCATGCACGGAGTGCTTTCTCCGAGCCTCCTGCCTGCCAGGATCCCTTGCTCAGCCGCCTCCAGCCAGCCTTCAGACCTGTAACTTGTGACACAGAGCCCCTGGGCACACGCAGAGCGCCTGGCTCCAGCTAGTGCTCTCCATATACACAGACGGTCCTCGCTCACAATCGCATCCGAGCCAGCCGGGCCGGTCGGCAAACAGGCAGCAGGGCCTTGAAATGGGATGGCCCCCCTTCCGCATCACTGCCAGATGATCGAACCACTGGGTTTTGCATCCACGCACCTCTGGGGGCTGCTTTGGGGCTGCCCGGCGGGGCGGAAACCCCACCTCCCCGGCAACAGCGCTCAGAAGATCGCCCTTCGCAAACCCTCTGCCGTGACCCCACGTCCCCTGGAATCAAAGACCACCCCGGCGGAGGAAGCAAACGTCCCTAAGATAATATTAATTCACGAGCAGGAAAACCAGTCCTTTCCCCTTCGCTTCTTCCCAAAACATCCCTTCATAGCATAGCTAACCTCCGGCAAACATAAGAAGGTAAAGACAGTGCCCCCTTTTTTGGGAAGCCCCGTTCAGCTGCCAAAGTGCCTGGCACTCAGCCGCCCGGGCTCGTTATTAAAGGTGTTTTTTAAAAAGTTGGGTGCACGAGTGGATTTCGAGATTTGGCAGGGGAGTCCCTTGGCCTGCGAAACGCTACCCTGGCAAGAGGCCACAGACGGGCCTCGGCCGCCTCTCTGTGGCCACGGAAAAGACTGCAGCGCCGTCGGCCCCTTTCGCATTTTCGGCTTCACCGAGGAAGCATCACGGTGGTTCGACTGGAGCTTTTTTCTGGATGCCGCCTGAGATGGCACCCCTATGAAGCCTTCCCTTTGCCGAGTCCTGCCTCTGCGTTTCGGAGACGGCTTTATGCTGCGGAGTCTTTTAATGGAAAGGAGGAAATGCAAACAAGGGCCAGCGGTAGGCACCCAGGAATGGGAGTCGGCCGATCTGGGTTCTGAACCCAACTGGGCGGACTCAGCCAGTCGCCGCCTCTCGGCCCGGCCTACCTCACAGGGCTGCTGTGAGGATTAAGACTGAGAGGAGGAAGAGAACTGCGCAAACTTCTCAGAGTTCCTCCAAAGGAAAAGCACGAGCCACACACTCCGAATTGACCAAGCTGGCCTGCAGCTCCTTCACCCCCTTCACCCCTCACCGCTGGCTAGACTAGCTGGGACACATGGGAACTGGCATCCAGAAAGCCTGCAAGAGGCCCTCCCCTGGCAGGGGGACGAAAGAGGACACGCAACCAAGCCATCGGTTAAAATAAAGCAGAAAACGTTTCATTTGTTTAAAAAACCCAAACCGTAGCAAAAGACAGAAGGGTGGAAATGGGGTGTGGAGGAAGAGCGGCTCACGCCAAACGGGGGCTGGGCGGCTGCGTTCAGTTCCGGCAGTGGCACCTCCACACCCCGCTGGGGAATATTACAAATAATCCGGAGGCTGGGAGGCAGGCTGTGCCGTGCCCCCCGGAGGAATCCCAAGGTGCTGCTTGGGCCAGACTGGCCCCCCCCCCACGGATGGGAGCACCTGCACCCCCGGATTAAGCAAACTGAGGCAGACGGGCTTTGGCGGAAGCCGTCTGCCCCCACCGAGGAAGCGTCCAGGAATTTGGGAAGGCCAAGCGCGAGATGACCCCAAGATGCAGGCAGTGCCTGCTTTATGGCCAGGTGGCGAGGCTGGTTCCATGCTCATCCCTGAGCCCCCCTCCGGCCGAAGGGTTGTGCCGTGGCACCGGGGCAAGGCCGCATGGGGAACCAGCCGTCTTCAGGCGCCAGGAGCCCCGCGGCTCAGCTCTGGGCGGGAGAGCGGTCCTCCACGGAGGGCGGAGAGCCGTCGGGGCACCCGTCCCGTCCCGGCGGCCTCGCCTGTCCTCTTCCGGGGCTGCCCCTCTCGGCCGGCTATCCCTTCTGCAGGAGGAGGCGGATCAGGACGCCGGCGGCCAGGGAGGCGACGGCCAGGGCCAGGGCGAGCCCACGGCGCCAGGCCAGCTCCCTCCCGGACAAGACTGTGCCCGGGGCGACGGCGAAGGGCGGGGGCTCTTCGGGGGCGACCAGCTGCTGCTCCAGCCCTTGGGCCACGAACGGGCCGCCGTTGAGGGCATCCGTCTCCATGGTGAGATAGGCTGCGGAGAGGGAGAGCCCCGCCGTCAGATCCGGGGCCGCGGATCTCTGCCTTTTCGGTAAAGGCCTTGCCTGTCAGCCGCTCCTGCGTCGAAACCTCGCGGGGGGCCCTCGGCGGCACTGGGCTGCGCGAGACCCTTTGGGGAGGTTGCTCCGGGGCAGCCCGTGGTTAAAATACCCCCCGCCTCCCTGTGGGTTTTTGCAGCGAACGCCCGCCCCCCAAGGGTCCGCCCCGCCTTTCTTTGGCGGCCGATGCTGCTGTCATCAGGGGAGAACAACCGAGGGCCGTGCAGTGTGGTGCATCCTGGCCGGAGAGGGAAGCCGGCGCAGCAGAGCCAGCCGGGGTGGGGAAGGAGGGAGCTTCCTTCTGGCGATCGGACACCCCCGGGACGTAAACGCAAGGGCTCTCACCACTGTCCCCCGTTTGATGAAGGGCTGGGACCCCTTGCAGAAGGAACCTGGATGTTGTCGCCCTTCTCTAGAGGCCTCTGTGCGTGGGCAGGGCTTCCCATCCGTGGGCGAGGTGCCCAAGTGCAGCGGTACAGCCCTCGCAGGGCCAGGGCCGGCTTTTGGGGGCCGATCGGGGAGCGAAGGGTCTCGGCAGAGTTTCCACAAGGGCCGGCTCCCTGCCCCTCCCTTGTTCAGCCCCTCCGGCGCTCCCCACGGAAAGGTACCTAATGGCACGGGCTTGTTGGCAGCATCCTCCTCGGCTCCGGGAGCGGGAAGCCTGCTCGTGAGACCAGCACGGATCTGCGCCTGGAAGGTGGGGAGGAGGAAGAGCAGAATGTCTCCACTGGCTTGCCTGGAAGGGGCATGAGGAGCCGAGGGTGCCGTCCGGCTCTTCGGCGGTATCCTGGTGGACGTAAACTTACACATTCTTCTACGGGCATAACTAGGCCTCTGGGTACCTTCATGCTTGGAAAGCCTCCCAACCCCTCATTCCCATGCAGAATCTAGGAGCAGAATCCCAGAAATCTCACACTTTTTTTTAAACTCTAGCCCTTGTTATTTCCAAGTTCCTAGTCCTTATTGTTTTCGTTTTATTTTTGTTGTGTGTCAATAATAAATTTTCCTTCATTTTCAAGTTCATGGCCCGCATCATTTTCAAGTTTCCAGACTACATCGTTTTCCTAGCTACCTTTGTTTTCAAGTTTCTTAGTCCTCTTCATTTTCATCTTTTACCTAACCCTCATCATTTTTAAGTTTCTAGCCTTCGTCATTTCAGTCATTTCACCAGCAACCTGTCAGTAACTTTGATTTAAAAAAGAAAGACGCTGATGTCCCAGAGGCTCACCTCTTCAGCAGCCTTCTTCCAGTCTGCACGCAAGACAAAGACCAAGAAAGAGACGGCTTGAAGGGAGATGCAAACTATCAAACCGCTCCAGAGGCCTGGGAGAAGAGCAGGAGAAAGTGCCTTCAGCCTACCATTTGGTAGAGGAAAGTGGCTTTTTCTTTCTCGATCCTGTTCAAAATGTAAACACTTCCTTCCCACCCCATATTCCGGGAGTTCTGCAAAGCCTGGCCTGCAAGAGTGTGTCTGGAGCTGCCAGGAATGGCTAACTATGGGTTATTCAACCATCTTTGCTTTCGCAAACTATGCGGGCACGCGCCATTCTTGGGTTGCTAGCAGGTCATCCAAACCCAGAAACTCTGGGTTCTTCAGGGACTAAACAACCAAGCATTAACCCAACAACAAGCCATGGCTTCCCTCCAACCGGTTTGGCTGCTGAACAACCCAGAGTTAACCCCACAAAGAGCCCCGGGTTAGCACGTGCGCTCACCCCCGAACAACCCAAAGTTTCCAGGTTATGTTAAGCCACAAACGGTGTTCCTGGGTTGTTTCAGAGGGAAAAAGGGCAGCTCCCAGGAAGAAGCCCAGCTTCCCGGCACACGTACCCATCACGCCAAGCTTGAACTGAAACATCAGTGAGATCCCAATGGGCAGGCCGATGACGTAGTAGCCGACGGCATTGGCGATGGCGCCGATCTTCTGCTTCCCGGCTCCTCTCAGCACGCCGCCACAGGTTGCCTAAGGTGCAAAGAAACCCATTCAGACAGTGTGGCTTAGCAGAAAGATCAACGCCCCTGCTCCCGAGGCCCTGCGGATGGCCCCCCCTGCCATTCCCAGGCACTGTTCTGGTGAATATTTGGAGCCCTGAGGACTAGAAACTTGCCATGCTTCACATTCAATTTCATTTTATTCACTTCCTGCATTTCTGCACGGCACACTAGCCAGAGCTCCAAACGAAACTTAAAGTCATAAAATGCAGTGATAGAATAAAAAGTTTATATGAAAACCATGATTTAAAAGCAGGATGAAAGCAAACCAAATATGAACCAAGATGAAGGCCAACAACACTGCAAGAGCTAAGAAAGCACTAATATGTTTTGGTTTTTTTTAACTGAAATAATAATATTTTATATTGTTAATTTGTTGTATACTGGAATGTTTTATATTTTAATTTTATGTTGTGAGCCGCCCCGAGGCTTTGGCGAATGGGGCGGCGTAGAAATGTTTTAAAGAAAATAAAGAAAATAAATATTTTAAAGCTGCTGAGTCTCCTGCGGAGGAGCTTGAGCACCAGGGAGCAGGTCCCATCGTGGCTCCGTCTGGCGGAAAGACGGAGCGCTTCTGGCGGCTTCCACCCCCCCGGGACTCACCGCGATGGCATCGAAGAGGTGGAAGGGGGCGAAGATGAGCATCACTTTGGCGACCAAGGCAACGATCTCCCTGTGGCGGAGGAAAGGCAGAGGTGAAGGCGCAAGCAGGCGCGGCGTTTGGTCTGGCCAGCACCGAGGAGACGGAAGCCCAGCAGCCGTGTTTGCTGCTGTGTGTCACGGCTGAGGGGGGGGAGGCGGAAACGCAGGGGGGCCCGCCGAAAGATCTGGCCCGTCCCGCCGAATCGAGGCACGGAAGGCGAGCTCCGCGGCCAGCGGCTCGAGACGCGGCTCCCGTCGCTGGGGGGCTCCACCGGTGGCAACCCGTGAGCTGATGTGGCCACCAAAGCTTCCGGCTGCCGGCACTAAGGCGAGGGGAAGGGTGCCCGGGGGTGTTGCTCCTGGCCTGGCCACCCGTCCCCAGCGCGGTTGGTGCACCGGGGGACTCCCTCACCCCTGCACTGCCTTGGCAGGTGAAATGGCGCAAGGAGGAGGCGGCGTTCAGCCTGCATCTCTGCGGGTCGCGAGGGGCACGGCCTGGTGACGACCCGGTGGGCAGTCCTCCCCGGGGCTGCACGCTTGCCAGATGTTTCGGCTTCCCGGAAGCCCAAGGGAAGAGGGGCAGTGGCCAGTGGGTGGGGTACTGTGCCGAAGCATCTGCTGACACCTTTCTGATCCACTGATCTCGGGCGGATCGCCAAGCCGTCCCCCATCCCCGGGAGAGCCCCCGAAACAGAGAGCTGGAGTGACGCACCTGTCGCTGGTGAAGATGTACGCCACCACGTTCCTCATGGCTCCCAGGAGGCCGGCAAACACCACAGCGAAGGCGCCTGGGAGAAGAGGGGGAGGGGTGAGCACTGCAAGAGCCATGAGGACTAGAATCTTGCCTTCTTTTGAAAAGGGGGGGCCCCGGTTAGGAAGCGAGCCCCAGCCTGGAGGTGGAAGGTCTCGAGTTCAGGGAAATCTGCTCCCTGTCCCTGGAGCTGGAGGGCTGCAGCCAGCCAACTCTCTCCCTCTAAGGTTCTAGTCCTCTGGAAAGAGAGCTCCCTCCACCACCCTTGGGAAGGCACACCTGTGCAGAGCAGGCCCGTCACGCAGGACTTCCTGGCTTGCTCCGCGTCTCCGGCTCCCAAGGCGTTGCCGATGCGGACGCTGCAGGCCACGCTCATGCCCTGCGGCAGCTGGAAAACAGGAAAGGAAGATTTTTTATTATTATTTTTAAAACGTTTTTATGGTGCCCCATTCGCCGAAGCCTCGGGGCAGCTTACAACAAGTAGTTAAATAATTATAATTAAAAATATAAACATTAAAATAAAATAAAATACATACAATATAAAATAAGCCGCCCTGGCCAGATAAAATTCAATAATATTAACATTTAAAATGCTGCTTAAATAAAAAGGTCTTCGCCTGGCGCCAAAAAACAAATAACGATGGCAGCCCGAGGCCTCCTCTCCTGGCACGGGCGTCACTGCTCCGCCCCACGGCCTGCGCACATGGAGCAAAGCTAGCCGGCGCGTCCTCACCAGATAAGCAATGGTCGCCAGTTCGTATATGATGGACTGAGCTCCCAGCTCCACCACGCTAACCATGCCTTAGAGGGGGGAGAGAGAGAGAGAGAGGGAGAGAGACTGGAAGTGTGCGAAGATCGTTAAAAACCTCCGATGCAAAAAAAAAAACCGGGCTGTCTGGGGCTCACGCGCGAGTGCTACGTCCGTGGCGACCGGGCAAGGGGAAGTGGCCTGTGTGAATGGGCAGCAGGGGGCCGGGGGTCCCCCACAAGGGGGTCGCCAGGGCTGGTCGGGGGTTCAGGACACAGCCCGGCTCCGTGCTGCTCCACAGCACCGGCCCCCATGGTGGCGGGCAGCCGGAGCGAGGGGCTTGGGCCCGGGCAGAGCAGGTGGCCCGGCGCACCCAGGAAGAGAACTTCTGTTCTGCCCAGGACACGAGCTGGGGGGCCGCGTGGCTGCAAGGCCTTGCCGTGGGACCTTCCGGGCACTGGCCAGCGTGGGTTCGCTGCCGCTGCAGCGGCTCTCGGCTGAGCACCCGGGGTGGCTTCCGGACCACGAGGCCAGATCCCCAGGGGGCCCGAGCCCCGTCGGAGTGCCTGCCCTCCCGGCCGGAGGAAGGCGAGTCCGGGGCAGCACATCCCCGCCGACGTGGGGCGGACGCCCTCCCCGCCAGGGCCGGGCCGCTCGGCGGCGGCTCTGCCCCAGGGATGCTCCAGTCCCACCCGACGGCCTCACCTGCCATGAAGCCCCCGATCTCGAAGGTCCACCACTCGATGCAGATCATCAGCATGCTGGGAAGGGCCAGGCGGATGAAGGAGCCCCACTCCTGGAGGCACTCCAGGGTCCAGCCTGCAAGTCAGGGCAGGCGCTTACCCACTGGGGGTGCCCGGGGCTCCCCAGCACAGCCACGCTCCGGGCCTGGGCTCGGAGGGCCTTCAGTCCGATCCTGCCTGGCTGCCCGGAGCCCCTTTCCCTCCTTTCTCCGAGCCCCTGCCCCGGTTTACGCTACCTCCCCAGGTCTCCTTGTGGATCTTCTTACACCACACATAAAGGAAGAGCAGGATGGCCTGCAGGTTCTGGGACAGCGTGTTGGCCCAGGCAGATCCACTGCAGGAAAAGCGGGAAAGGAGAGAGAGAGAGAGAGAGGGAATGAGAGATAGAACGGGAAATCAGGTCCGTGTTTCTTCAGGAAGGGGTATTCGCCATATTCGTGAGAGCTAGAAACTTTGCCTCTGTGAAAAATCAAAAATAAAACCAGGGATGATGGGGCCAGCCGGCCATGGCACAGGGCCATGACTGGGAGAGACTGGAGCTGAATCCACAGCACCCGCACCCGCACCGCAACCTCACTTTATTCGGGAACGCAGAAGAGCCCCTGGGCTTTAAGAGAACAGCTCCCATGTGAGCCAGAGGGCAGAGTCCTGGGCCCGGTTACCAGACCCAGCCATCCCAGCCTTCCCTCCAGTCTGGTGGCTTCCTGGCACTGGGGCCAGTTCCCTTGGTGCCAGTAGCTGGCATTTTGGAAACGCCCCTTTCGACACTGGCCACCTCCTCCAGTGGAAGGACCCCTCTCCGGAGCAGAATGTGGCCCTCGGGCTGCAGGGAGCCTGGCACCGTGCCCGGCACGAAAACTTCCAAACCCCCCGTGGGAATGCACGGGCAGGATGCCGCCCCCGCCGGCAGCCTGCTTCCCACAGCAGCGGCTGAGCCCAAGCCCCTTCCTGGGAAAACCACGGGCCCCTCCCACGGACGCTTCCCTCTGTGCTTCCCCAGCCCTCCGGCAAGTTCCTTCCAGCCGCCCCCTTTCGAGAAAGCCTGAATTTGGATGCCCGACGGGGCCATGGAGAGCTCCTCCCCCCCGCCCCGAGCTATGGATCCGGGAAGCGGGGCAGCCTCCGGGGGCGATTCTCACTCACACCACACCCAGCTCCAACAAGTGCAGGAAGACGGCGTTCATCCCCACGTTCAGGACGTTGGCCACCACGCCGGTCACGACCTGGGGAAGCAGGATGACCTGGGACCCCGGAGGGCAAAGGAGCAGAGAAATGCCACGGAGGCAGCTGAGCGGGCCTGCCCTGATGCTCGGGGCAGGCGGCCGCATTTCTGCCCCTGCTCCCCAGCTGGGCGGGGATCCCCTGGGGCGAATCTCCGCTGGGAGCGACTGGCAAAAAAGAGACCCAGAGAGAACCCCTTCCTTCAGCCCCGCACCATGAGTTAGTGGCTCGCGCCGTCGGCCGGGCCGGCTGCGAGCACAGACTGCGGGGAGGGCGTCCTTCCGCCCAGCCCTCTGCCTGTCCCCAGCCTCCTGCAAGGCAGCGGCAGCCGGCCACTCCCCATTTCCTGCTCCGAAAAGATGGGCTCTTCCATCCCATTGGCAGCCCCGTCCGGGTGCCCTGAGCGGGCACGAGGGCCTGGCAGCCATCTTTTCAAAACACCGGTAAAATAAAGTGATGCTCCACTGAGGACATGACCGATTCCTTTCCCCTCATTTCCACATTAAGTACACAAGGGGGTGCCCGTCGCCTCTCTTCATCAGTTACCGTTCTGGTCCAGGTGGCAGGCCAACCCAGAAGAGCTCCTGATACAGGAACAGGGGCTAAACCTTACTCCTACAAGCACGCAAGCAGAAAGCACATGCCTACAAGTCCTGATTTTTATACCGGGCAGCTGCATCGCCCCGTCTGCTATTTGGCACATCCATCCCCATGATAGAAAAAATTCTGACAACCTTCTGCAACTGACCCTCTTCCTCCTGGCATACAGGTGAGTGTCTATAATTTGACACGCAAATTCCTTGACCCCCCCCCTCACTCCCCACATGGATGCTGGTCAACCCAGCTCAGCCAATCGCAGGCCCCCTGGAGTATAATAATCAAATGAGACGGAAAGCCCCAAGTGTAAGGCAGGGGAGGCCAAAATACCAATGAAACCAGTGTAATTGCTGCCCAATAAAACTTTTTCCAGTGGCACCTGGGGCTTTTTATTCCTGCCTCTGCTCCACCCTGGAGAATAGCAGGGAATCTCACCTGAGTCTGCAGATATCGGATCTGTAACTGGTAGATAAAGACAGCCTACAAAAAAACGAAAAACCAAAACCTTTTAGAACAGATCTCTGTGCCACTGCCCCAATTTCACAGCTGGGGGTCGTGAGCCTTCGTTGAGTAACTGTGCTGCCCAGTTTGTTAATTATGGTGTTGTACCAGCTTTAATCATAGTGCTTGATATAGCGTTTTTCAGTAATGTTTACATATGTGCATTATAAGAGCAGCAGAATAATTTTTCACGTGCTCCAATTCTCTCTTGAACAAGCCACTTATAGATATTTTGGAATAAGTGGTATTTAAACCTATTCAATAATAATACAGTGATGAATATTAAATACTAATTTGTAATTTTTATACAAGATCATCAACTGCCCAGAAAGCTTCAGCTACTGAACAGCACAGAAATTTAATGATATCGCAAATTATTAGGGAGAGCCAGCGTGGTGGGTGGGACAGAACGGGGACTTGGAAGATCCAAGATCAAGGCCATGAAGCTCACAGGGGGACTTTGGGCCAGTCCTTTGCTCTCAGAATGGCCTACTTCACAGGGCTGGCATGAGAATAACAGGGAGAGGAGGTGAGCCAAGTAAGCTCCTTACATCCCTTGCAGGAGGGGAAAAATGTGAGATATAAATACAACCATGAAAAAAAATAATTCCTAAAACAGAAAGCAGCGGGGTGGGTGCATGAGAAGCCACAATGAGCTGGTTTTGGATTAAAATGGGGTTAGGGGGCAAGGTTTGCCCCCAGCCTGACAGGCATAAAACTGAAGCCATCGCCTAAGCCAATCCCCCAGGAAGTGTGGGCCTTTGGCTCATGTGGGCTTGCCCTCTTGCTGCCGCTGCCAAATTCTTCTCTCTGATGTTTTATTCTGAAATCAACTGCCCTCGTCTCCCTGGTCTGTACACTCCTTCTTGCAAATAGGGGTGCCTTTAGGAGACAGACGTACAGAAATTTTAGTGGAAATGTAGATTACATATACATTTACTTTGTGTCCTGCAGGCCTGAGTTGCAAATCTTTTTGGTATCAATTCAGCCATGTTCAGAACCATGAGGACCAGAAACTTACCCCATAAGCCACACACACCCCAGGGAAACAGAGCAGCAGCAAGTTTTGAAAACTGTTAGCAATTTAAGAAGACACAAAGGAAGGTGGTCACGGCAGGAAACTTACCGGGAGAGCGGGAATGAATATCATTACATAAACTTGGGTTAATCTGGAAGAGAAATATAGTTGACATTTTATTCTTCACTGGAATGGAGAGTAAATCAGACCAGAGAGGGTGTGTGGGCCGCGGCAGATCAAACGACACAGAATCAGAAATATGGAAGGGATACAGATCTTCGAATCCCTTCTTTGACAACTGCCTGACCAACATCACAAAACCCAGCCAAAAGCAGAACCTGGGCAGCAGAAATATCTCCTCTTGCAGCAAAGCAAGCTAGTTTCGATTTAAAATAATCTGCAGCCCTCGTTCAGGGCAGAACCTGGAATCAATCGGTGCAACCTGGAGATAAACCAGCTGCAAAAGCTGCAACTGACTGATAGACTGTGTTTTAATTCCACCCCAAAATTCATGATCTCGGGGCAGAATGCAAACGGCAAACGGCCTGCCGTGCTGCTGCCTCCGAGACGCCCGAGGCGTGCGCTTCGGGAGCTGCAGCTGGCTCACGGGGCTCGCTGCCGTGACACGGCCCGGCAAGCGCACAGACCACCAGGGACACAGTGCAGCCCGGAGTCACGTGTGATCGTCTTCCACGGAAAACAGCCGGGCACGTGGCAGAAGTCAATTCAAGTCCCGCCCCGAAGAAGAAGAACAAGAATCTGGCAAAACAAGTTTGCAATAATAAAAGGAACCAAAAACAGAGCTGGGAGGGGATCGGGGGTCACCCTAGTCCGAGCCGTGGCGATGCCAGATGTAGCAAGAGCATCCCGGACGGTCGCTGCTTAAGACCCCCTGCCAAGGGCCACCCGCCACTTCCCAGGACAGCCGGTCCCGCTGCTGGACAGCTCCCACCCCGGGGAGGGCTCCCCTCATGCCAAGCCGAAATCTGCCTTCCCAAGCAGCTCTCGCCCTTTTGCCTTTCTCTAGGCTGTCCTCACGCCCCCTGCCTTGTCCTTTCTCCGGGCGAGAAAAGACTGGTCCACTGCGCAAGCTGCGGCGGGATGCAAACGCCCCAAGGAGCTTGCTCAGGCGCACACGCGAGCGAAGCCGCGCCGGCTGACCTGGAGACCTCGGGGTCCTGCTTGCAAAGCAGCAGGATCCGCTCCGTGTTGATGAAGACGGCCCAGCACGGGAAGCAGAAGAGGAGCAAGATGACGACGCCTCGCTGCAGGATGGTCCCGACCCGCTTCACGTTCTTACTTCCGTATGTCTGGCCAAAACAAAGCAGAAGCGGAGCGCCCTCTGGAACGAGTGGAGAAGAGAAGACCGGGTGACAGAAAAGACCCTCTCTGCGCAGGGCCGTGTCACGCCCTGTTCAAAAGCACCTTCTGACCGGGACGGGGACAACAGGCTGGCTAGCTTTTGGCACGTGGATTTCCCAGGCTCAACCCGCCCCGGCCGAAAAATAAATAAATCCGGGGGCAGCAGCAAAGGGAAGAAGTCTAGGAAGGATGCTTCGATGGCACCAGAAACCATAGAGTCAGTCCTAGACAGAGTTCCCCATCTCTCTTTCATAGGAACCATAGAGTCAGTAGAAGCATAGAAAGCTACCATCTCTTCCCCGCTGGAAGTGGGGCAACAGGGTCGAGGGCTCCCCCTTCAGGGGATTAGGTGGAGGGCCGCATCAAATGGACCAGGGGCCACCACCTGCCCATGACTGGTCCCACTGCACTGTTGCTCTGACAGGGAGGAAGCGTCTCCCGACGCCCAGCCTGAATCTGGGCTGTCGCAACTTGATTATTCCGCGTCCTGCACTCTGGCATCGGCGAGGAGAGATCTTGGCCTCCCTCTTTGGGAGAGCCTTGGAGGGACTTCTAGAGGGGGAGAATGTCCCCCCTCGATCTTCTCAGCGCACGTTGCCAGAAAGCCAGGTCCCTGAAGACAGCACAGGAGAGGGGCCGAGGGGGGTGGGCCACTGAATCACTCCAACGAAGCCCCCAGAAAGCCCCAGGATGGGGCAGAAAAACAGAGCGCAGTACCTGAGACATGAGGGTGTCGCACACGGATGCCAGGCCGGAGCCGACGGAGATGCCGATCACGTTGATAACCTGCAGGGGGCGGGAGAGGGAAAGTAAGCGGCTGGAGGGGGCCGGGTGAAGTGTCGCACTTCAGTTCCCATCAGCCCCAGCCAGCACAGCCAACGGGCAGGCATTCCGGGAGAGGCCGGCCAGCCCCGACCGAGACGGCAGGCCGGCGCACGGGGACCGCTCACAGTGCCGGCCCCTCCAGACAGGGTCGGGGGTCTCAATTCAGTCCCTCCACCCCCCCCCATCTCAGGTGGGGGTGAGCCAAGGCACAGAGGCCGAGGGTGGCGATTTTCACGTACCGACACGGCCAGGGTGACGGCGTCCAGTTCGGCTTTGCCCAGGTGGCCGCAGAAAATGGAGCTCACCACACTGATCAGGAACCCCAAGAACTGGGCCACGAACTGGGGGGAGAGGCAGCGGGTAAGAACTGGGGGGAGAGGCAGCCACAACCCTGCCCCCCGCAAGCCCCTGGCTGGCACCCCGGACGGAGCCCCCTGGCCCACTGCGGGCCAGTCACAGACTCTCAGCCCAGCCTGCCTCGCAAGGTTGTTGTTGTGGGGATAAGAGGAAAATTATGCACGCCTGCATTCCTCGGAAGGAAAACAGCTGGGATACGAATCAGACATATAAATAAATACAAGAACTGGTTTGTTCTTTTGAGAAATCTGAGCAGGAGCATCGCACTGGCTTTCCGGAAACAGGGATCTCTGTGTTTTTCATGTGCGAGGGACGCTTTCCATCATCCCAGGCCCCGCTGGAGGTCTGCATCACCGTGAGCCAAAGCACCGTCTCCCTGTGTGTTTTGGGCCAGTGTGGTTTGAGTTGGCTCTCAGTGCCTGGAAACCAGGCCTTCAACGGGGTGTTTTTCCTCCTCGGCTGGAGGAAGAGAAGTCCAAGATAAGCTAGAACAGGCTTGGACAGGCGCAGCTTTAAAAACCTCCATCCCAGAGAGCGTGAACGCTCCCCTCCGGGCCAGGGCAAGTCACCATAACAAGGATCCGGTGGAGGGGCTGATGAGGGAACGTATTTCATTATACACCCACGAGATTGCAAGGAGAGGTTCTGCAGATCGGGGAGACGGGGGGTATCCCTGCATGTGGAAAGTGAAGCCGGGACCACAGGAGAGCAAGGGTACTGAGCCCCGGCCCTTTCCCCACGCGGCCACGGAGCGTCGGGTTGCTTCCCAGCTTTTCAAAGGGTCCGACGCCTTTCCTGAGGCTACCGGGAAGTAGACACCCCGAACTAGTATTCTGCTCTGGTCCATCACTGGACCGCACTCTGTCCCAAGCGTTTCTTTAAAGCTGAATTTGGCCCTCAGGGTGGAAAGAGGAACAGCACAGCGGCACGGGGAAATCCGACGAGGCAAAGCCGGAATTGCAGCCAGCTCCAAACTTCCCCCCAGCCTGGCAATTCCCAAAACATCGGGATGGCACCAAGCCGGCCTGTGCTGAGGTGTCTTGTCGAAAGCTGGCATGGTGGCTGAACAGGGATCCTGGAAGGCACGGGTTCGAGTCCCCCTCAGCCAGCAAGCCCACGGGACGACTCAGCCAATCCCTCACACTCGGCCCGGGCTACCTCACAGGGCTGTTGTTGTGAGGATCAAAGGGAGCGATAGCCGTGCTGGTCAAACCTTCCAGCCTGGTGACGCCTTCCCATTGTGGGCACACGGCCAGACACTTTCTGCTGGGAAAGCATGCGCTCCATCACCGCGGCAAGGACACCGAGGCCCCGCGGCTTTCAAGCAGTCACGCTCTCTCGCCAACAGGATGCTGTTCGAGGGGACAATGAACAAAGGCCAGGCCAGAAGAGCATGCCTTGACTGCAGCACGGGGCAGCCGGCCGAGGCAAGCTGGAGAGCAGCTCGGTGCGGGGGCATCTGTAGGTGCTGCCCCATCCTTGTGCCAAGGCCGCGAGGCTTTCCTACGCCTGGGAGTAGCCCAAGCGCAGCAGGGCTGACTTGGGGTGAAACAGAAACAGAGCGAGTCAGAAGGGGGCTCCCGGGCATCTAGTCTGACCCCCAGCTCCAGCCGGCTCCGCTCACGACGTGCCCACCACGTGCATGTCCAGCCTGTCTTTGAACACCCTCACCCATACGGAAAGGGCCGAGGCCTGAGGCGGAGGCCTTGCTATGCCTCCAAGAAGTTCCATCTCCACAAAGTGCTGGGAAAGACGCCCCGGCATTTCTATTACTGATATAACAGTGTTAGCTACTAATGAGTCATACATTAGTATTACTAATAGATACATGCATTATTGCCTTGTCAAAAAGGTTTCCGTTTTAAGCAGACACCTGAGAATCAAGGAAGGAAAAGAGCAATTCTTTCCTTGGAGGCATCGGCTGACACAATTCGATTGACAGGACAAAGTTTTCTTTCTGTGTGGGAATGTACACCTCACACACCCAAGATGCTACGCTTCAAATATTGTGAGAACCCCTCCCACAAAGCTGCATTCAGCAACGAGTGTGTATTTAACTTCCTGAAAGTCATAAAGAGCTTCCAGGCCCTGTGATCTTTGGTCCCAGACTCTGACCCCGCATCTTCCTCTTTTCAGCCCATGGTGAGAATGACTTTTAAAAAAGGGTCATTTTTGCTGTCTTGATTTTTAAATCTCAACTCCACAAGTTGAAATGAGCATGAAGAAAAGGATGTTTTCTTCTGAGCATAGGAAAAAAGAGGATTTCACGTGCTTTTAGTATGAAGGAATGTTTTACTCAAGCTCCCTCTAACATACATGTATAGATGACTGTCCCCCCACCCCAAAGGAAAGATGTGTTGGCTACAACACCCATCATTCCCAGCCCACACATCTGGCCATACATGGAACTTGGGGACCTTCCAGATGGGGTTGGAGTAAAAGTCGTATCGGCTAATAGGACGTGAAGTACTTTAATCTTCCATTGCCATCTGGAGGGACACAGGTTGGTACAGGACCCGCGATTTCATAAATAAAAATTTAAGGCAGTGAACAGCGTGGCGAAAGGACCAGGCGACCACGAAATACTGCTAAAAGCAAGGCGTAAAGATCATAAAGCGGCGCAGAGATCTGAACCCGCGTCTCCTCCGGTCCCGGCGCGACGCCCGCTCCCTCTGACGAGGCTGCCTCCAGCCGTGGGCTTCGGGCGGGCCGCGCAACTCCCATCGTCCCCAGCCATCCCAGCTGCGGGACAGCACCAGGGCGCGGGCAGCCGGGCCCGAGCCGCCACTTCGCCTCCCCTTCCTCGCCCCAGGACTCGATTGCGGGGCGGGCAAGGCTGCCTCCTGCACGGGAAGGGGGCCCCTTCTCAGGCGCCAGACCCGGGGGCGCACCCGCCACGGGCGGAGGGCGAAGGGGCCCCGCTCCCTCCCCGCGCCCGCCCGGCCGCCCCGCGCCCGCCTCACCACGGGCGCGCCGATCCGCACGAGCTCGCGCGCCTCCCGCGCGGCGCCGACGGGC